TACTCTTACTTAAAACATTCAAATATTGTATTTTTTTCGTTGGTCCAGTTTCCACTAAGGGCGCTTTTATAATTTTATTCAAGAATGTATTTCATTTAAATAAATAATCATAAGATCTGTAGCTTCCGAATTAAGAAAATATTATCTAGCTAGCACAAAGCTTATTTGGTTGAACAATTTGAGATATGTTGAATCGTTGTCTCAAATTGGAGTTTCAGGCAAAATAAACTAGTTTACATCTCTTGGTCTTGAAACGTCAATACGAAGAAATTATGAGTCATAGAATGTGAACTCTATGATTACCAAAAACAAAACAAAATCTGATAATTGGATCTTATCATGGTAAAACATATATATGGTAAAATGTAAAGTGTCGGATCCAAATCTTGTAAATCGTAATAGTCGAAATAAAAGAGGACGATTTATCCTCATATATATGTGTTGTTATACCGACAGAAAACACTAACATAAAGCTAGGTCGGTTATTATTGTTCTTGAAATAAAACAGCATAACTTGACTTTGGAATAACAATCTACCATTCCCATTTGGTTTGTCTTTATAAAGAAACAAAAAAAAATAATCTACCATCATCATTATCACCAACCAAACCATACCTTCACCGTCACAAAAGCCCTCTACTTTAATTTCTCTTTGTTGTTCTTTTTTTAATTTCTTGTTTGCCTTCAGCTTTATATCATGGAAAATGAACACAATAATATCTCTTTCTCTCTATCTCCGTAAATTTCCTTCCCTAGATTCCTTCTTTTGTCTCCCGTAGAATCAAGGGACCCTAGAATCAATCAATCACTTCTTCACTCTTCAACATCTATTTTAGTTTTTTTTTTTCTAAAAAATAAATATTTCATTAAAATGAATACTATTTAGATTTACAAATCGAAACATTATAAACCCATAGAAATGGTCCTACGGCAATAAAAAAAAAACTAAAAACATGAAAGCATAATTTATTACAAATTTTAGTTCATCCACTCGACATAAACACTAAACTAATAGAGTAACAAAGTGATAATAATATTATTATTCTATCAAAATTTGTTGCTTGAGACGTAGTTGCGAAATCAACTAGTAATACCCGAAATGTCCAAGCTCCAAACATTAGAAACCTTTCACTAGAGGTCTTTTACCATTTGTCAACGACAACATCCTCGAAACTCTCGATCACATACACCATATGCGTCCAAGTTCCTCCCGAAACCAGTAGCATCTAGCATCTAACCAAAGGGGTGGTGGCCTAGTGATAACAAAATGGGTTGGTTCCTTGTACCCCGGGTTCAAACTCCCTTTGGGACGGAGAGTTATTTTTTAAATCGGAATTTCCAAAAATTGTCTCCGGATACCGAAGAGATTATGAACCAAAAGTTCGGAATTCTCACGGTTTATTAAAAAAAAAACAGTAGCATCTAGCTAAAAATAACCAATCAAAACTATACCGAAAA